GGGGGGGGGGGCTCGGCTCTGGGAAGCGAGCACCTCGCCATCCTCCCAGGTCTGCGGGCTGTCCCCAGGGTGTGGTCTCCTCGGGGACCCTGCGCGGCCCCGTGAGCCTGTCTTCTTCCTGCTGCGCGAGCCTCTCCGTGACTTTCGGGCACGTCCCCATGTGCAAGCCCGGAATCCTGCAGGCACACGTCCAGCACGTACCCTAACGAGCCCCCCGGCGCCGGGCTCTTGGCACGTACGTTTTACGAGCCTGCTTAAACCAGAATAAAAATTACTTTCCCTGCGGTCCCTTCTGAATGGTAATCAGGATCTGCCGCCTGTCTTCTCCCCCAAACTACGACAGTTACGTTTCAATCGCTTCCAAACTGGCTCCGGCAGCCGCATCCACGGGGGGCCCGGGCCGGCCTGGAGCTCCCCACGGACACAGGGAGGGAGGAGACAGAACTTAACCCCCGGAGACTCTACTCCACTAGGCTGGGGAGACATGCGGCCCACGACGGCGCGGTCAGCCTGCTTCCGGAGCCCGAGCCTCCGCCCGGCCAGGCGCCCCCTGGCGCTCCGTGGTTCAGATCGGAGCGGACAGACCTGCCATCCGTGCTGGACACGACGGGGCTCCGCAGAGGGCCTCGCCGCCGAGCTCCAGCCGAAGCCACGCTGGGGGCAGACGAGCCACGAGGCAGCAGGAGCCCCAGCCCTCCCTCCTGTCACTGCCTCCCCGGCTTCCCAGAACGAAGCGGCCTCCTCCTGGTCCAGCTGGTGCCTGCGCGTCCAGAGGCCGCGGCAACTGACCGTCTGCCCGGAGCAGGGAGTCACGTCAGACGGCTCCCGAGCAGGAGCAGCCCGAGGGGTCGCCTGCCGCTCCGGGGCTGGGACCGTTCCCTCCAGCGGCTCCTCCTGCCCGCAGCAGAGTGTAAGCGAGCGGCTCTGAAGGGCACCTGGGAGGCGTCCACATGGTGACCTTGACTTTGACCTTGACCCCTTCCTCCATCCAGGCTCCTCCCCGGCACATCCCTCGCCCAGCAGAGCACCAGGCCCTTCTCCCCAGCTCCTCTCCCACAGGAGCCTGAACCCCCAAAGCTGTGCCCCAAAAGGAACATCGCAAGCAAGACGCCCTCCTTACCTTGACCAGCTCCTTGAACTTGGGGTTGTCCCTGGAGGTGGGGTCGATCATCGTGCGCTCCTCGTTCTCCTCTGGGGGGCAAAGGGCCGGGGTCGGCGTTAGCAGCAGGGCAGGCCGACGCCCCCGCTCCGGTCGGGGAGACGGCTGAGGGCAGAGAGCCCCGTGTTTTCCCAGCGAACACGGGCCACACGGGCCACACGTCAGGTGACGGCCCGGGGCGGGCGGCCGAGCATGGGAACTGCCTCCCGGGACGTCGAGGTTGCCCGGTGCCCGGCCTCTCCCAGGAGGGGACGCGGTCGCCCCGTCACTCTGCCAGCCTCCCCCCTCACTGACTCCTATCTTTCGGGAGAGACCCCGGGCAAGGGGGCCACGCACTCGGACCCGAGTCTGATCCGTGGGGAAGCCGCGTGTACCACCTATTACACGTGGTACACGCACTGGGCGAGCTCACCGCCACGCCAGACAGCGGAACAGAAAGGGTGAGAAAGGCCCTGGCCGTGTGGCCCAGTGGTTAGAGCGCTGGCCGCATCCTGAAGGGTCACGGGCTGGACTCCCCGCCTGGCCGAGGGCCGTGCGGGAGGCAACCCCTCGATGCGTCTCGCTCACATCAACGCTCCTCTCTCACTCTCCTCCCTCCCTTCCACTCTCTCGAAAGATCAATGAGAAAAATATCCTCGGGTGAGATTAACAACAACAACAAAAGTATTAGAAAGAAAAAGCAAAGCGTGTTCATTCTCGTTGATTATTGGGTCACCTGTTTGTTTCCCCTCCGTCTGGCCTGGCTCCACGGGTAATGGGGGACCGGTGAGCTTATCACAGAAGCAGTGAGGAGGTGACAGTGGGGAAGTGGGACCACAGAGGGGAAAGACCCACAGAGGCCAGACAGGACGCAGGACAAGCCGACCAGGGACGTGACAGAGGCACCGGGCCAGGCCCGCAGGATGCACAGGGGCAGGCGACCAGGAAGCAGTGGAGACCAGGGACCCAGGCCCCGGCCGGCTCCTAGGGAGCCGGGGACCCTGTCCCTGTGGGTGACAATGAGACGGCTTTGAGCGGCTTCCCAGCAGCAAATTTTACAACCTGACAAAGTGGAAAAACTATTTTTGGAGTTGTGCAGACCTGGTGCTTGAGAGGGATGCTCCAGGTGGCACACAGGGGGTCACAAGGGGGCCCCTGGTGACGTCCCTGCTCAGGCCCTCTGCAGCCCCCCACTGCTCCCGGGATGAGGGGAGCGTGCTCCCTGTGGCCCCTCGGCAGAGCCCTCAGGAGCGGCCGCCCGGACAGCGGCCCCAGCCAGCCCGAAGGCCAGGCCGCCAGCGGCGGTGACGTGAAGAGCCGCGCTCTGCCCGGGGCGGGAGAAGCCCCGGTGGGCCCGTGGGACCGCAGGGAGCCCGGCCAGCCCTTGGCCGGGGGTCGGCAAGGCGAACGTGCGCTGGCGCTTCCAGAGCTCTCTCTGGCCCGGCCTTGCCGTGGAAACCACAACAGAGGGATCCACCGGGACTTCCCTTTGAACTGGGGTTTGGAAACACACGGAACGTTCCGCCACCGCCTTCCAGACTGACCAGATCCCAAAACGCGCTTTAAGGGAAACGTGTCCAGGCCGTCACCTCGTTAGTGCCGGGCTGTGACGTGGTCCCAAGGAGGTGGGTGCACTTGGCAGGTCCCAGCTAGCAGGCCCCGGGCCTGGGGAAGCTCCAGCTTGCACAGAGATGGGAGGGGGTGGGTTACTCGTGCGTCTTATTTTCTGACACTTTCACATTTGGGGGCTTGTGGACCTAGAGAGACTGCCCCTCCCAGGGCCAGCTAATTCCCAGGACAGCCAACAACTGCCCCGTGAGGGCCTTTCCCATGCAAACCACCAGGAGCACAGACTATAGCCGCCTCTGTCACTGGGCTCCCACGCTCCCAGGCAAATCCCCTCCCCTGGTCACCACGGGCCCGGCACAGAGCGCTCAGCACAGCTCCTGCGCCCCAGAGCCCACCGTAACTCCTCAAAACAGCCAACCCCAAGCCTGTGTACCCGCTTCATCCATTCCTTCCCGCGGAAACCACAAGAAAGGCTTTTGCCTAGACTTTCCCTGGTGCCCTGTGCCCTCCGCCCGGCCCTGGTGCTTCCCCGTGTGGCCCTGCCTGGCATGGTTTCCCCCCCTTGGCACCTGCGGGTATAACCACTGTCCTTTTTTTGTTTGTTAATCCTCGCGTGAGGATATCTTTCCCATTGATTTTCAGAGAGTGGAAGGAGTGGGGGAGAGAGAAACATCGATGTGACAGAGACTGATATCAATTGTTGCCTCCCACACGGGCCCTGACTGGGGCCAGGGATCGAGCCTGCGACTCAGGTACGTGCCCTTGACCGGGATTTGAACCCGCAACCCTTCGGTGCACAGGCCCACGTGCTAACCCCTGAGCCACGCTGACAAGGACTAACACGCTGTCTTTTCAGCGGCGGTCATCTTCTGAGCTCGCTGTGGCCTTGCCAGGCCTACACCGTAACAAAACTTACAGTTTTAACGAGAGAGAGAGAAGCCTGCGTGCTTTTTTCCTGCTCGCTTTTCTGAAACGACCTTGAGCTGAGAGCCCAGGCTCTCAAACGCCGCCCAGGGTGCCGTCTGATCAGAAGGCCGCGGTCGCGAGCATCGAGCTCCTCTGGCCTCCCCGGGAAAGCCGGGGGGCCCACCGTACCTAGCAGGGTGTCCTCAGGGTGCAGGTCCGCCGCGGCGGGGGACATCGGCGAGTTGATGGCATTTTTGCCTTCCTCCTGCAGGTCGCTCACTGTGGGGGGAGAGGGGGAGAGCAGTCAGTGTAAACGGAACGCGTGCCTTCCCCGGCTGGCAGCGGAACAGAGAGAAATCCACTCCTGTTTTTCAAGCGTTTCACAAACATTCCTAAATGGCCCGTCGCCCAGAAAAAGTCTGAGGAAAAACGAGCCGGACCAAGAATCTGTTCTGCAATCCTTCCCCCGCCGCCAAGTATTTCCCCGTCTCTGCCGAGCCCTGCCAGCCTGTTCTCGCTGCTCCCTGGAGTACGTGACTAAGACGCGGAAGCTTCCAGACGCTCCCGGGTCTGCCCGAGGCTGCTGAGACGCACGGAGCTCGGGTCACGGCGACCGGGCCCACGAAGGCAGGGCTCCCCTTCCCTGCCTGGAGGCCTATGTCCCACGACCGGGACCCCAGGAATGAAGGCCCCTCCTGACACGTGCTTCGGCAAGTGCCGGATTTAAAGCAATGCCATCGTCGCCGAGGCCACGTTTGCGGGGACAGAACCCTGACGGTGTGATGACAGGTGCTCCCCGGGGTCGGGAGCACAAGACACGTACAGAGGCTTCCAGCTGGGGGCGCCACGACCTCCTATCTAGACAGTATGGGCTGTGTGCGTGTTGGGGTGCAGGGTCCACAGGGTGCGGGGGCAACGACACCACGGATCCCACGGTGGCTGAACGAACCCCTCGCCTGCTGCACTGGAGAGACCTCAGGGAGTCACCCGGAGTCACGCCCACCGGGGAGCGTTGCCAACACGCCGGCACTAACACCCTGGCCTTTAACGCTGTGTCTCCCACCGGCCGTGACTGCGACTTCCAGACTCGGCTGCTTGTCGGGTTCCAGGCTCGGCCCCAAGATCGGGTTCACTGGGTGCAGGGTGGGGCCTGGGCACCCGCCACTCTTCACAGCCCCGGCTGAGAACTGCTCGGCCCCAGTCCCGACCGCTCGCCACAATTCCGGCCCCGCTCCATCGGCGACGGCCAGCGACCAGCGCCCGGGCCTGCTCCTCTCCCACGAACGTTCTAAGAGGCGAACACTAGTTCCTCTTTCGATACCACAGTCCCCTTGACCCTTTCACACCTCTGACCCAGACACCTGAAGGGACAGGTGACAGAGTGGCCAGGGGACGTGGCCCGATGGCTCTGGAACAGGCAGGCCCTGCTGATTGCCCCCAGCCGGCAGGTCCGCCAGGCAGGTCCCATGCGTCTCTATGAGGCTCTTTCCTCGCAATGTCAGGGCCCCGGAAGGACTGAATGAGACGAGGAGCGTCGGGTCCCGAGCCTGGGGCCAGGCCCACAGTGGGCTCTCGGGACTCGGCCGCAGACCCAGCTGGGGGGACGGCCCCCCCTCCACTCCTCACGGGACACCAGCTTCTAACCTCAGTGACACAAGACATGTTCACAGCAGCACCAGTCACAAGAGCCGAAAGGTGGAAAGAGCCTGAGTGCCCACCGACGGAGAATGGACACACACCGTGTGGTCCGTCCACGGGGGAATATTATTCACCCATGAAAAGGAAGGAAGCCCTGACACCTGCTACGACGGGGGCGGGCCCCGAGGCCATAATGCTCAGCGACATACGCCAGACACAAAAGGACAAACCCCGTGTGAGTCCACATTTATGAGGTCCCTAGAGCAGGCAAATTCACAGAGAGAAAGCAGGCCGGGGGGGCTGGGGCGGAGGGGGTGCCGTTGTTTAATGGGCCCAGGGTGTCCTTTTGGGAAGATGGGGAAGTTCCGGAGACGGCGCTGGCCGCCGGGCAGCGTGATGGGCTTCGTGCCGTTTCCTGCGGTCGAGACGGTCTCGTGTTTCGCAGATTCTGCCACAATTGAAAAGGAAAGAAAGGCAGCCGTGGCCCGTCTCCACCTTCCGGGCGGAAGCCCGCCCGCCGGCAGTGGGTACACCGTCTCGGCTCCAACAGGCCGTGTCCCCCGAGCCCTCGGCTTAGCTCTGCAGCAGCAGCCAGCGTTTACACCTTCGTGGGTAACCGGGGACCATGCTGACAGGCGAGGCCCCCTCTGCATCCCTCCCGTCCCCCAAAATGCTCCGAAGATCCCCACGGCTCACCCAGGCCCCTTTAGAAAACAGAGACCACAACTCGGCGGCTGTTTTTACTACGAATTGCAAAGTTTGTAACCAGAAGAGTTTTCAGAGGCGGAAAGGGAAGGAGGGGAGGGTTTTTTTTTTACAAAGTCCTCACGCGTACAAAGCTGTGCGTGTGACCTGGTGAAACGGGCGTACACAGAAGACCCCGGGCGCCTGGGGCCCGTTTCCTGGACCGATGTCACAGACAGGGCCGGACAGTCCAGGGAGGTCCCTCTCAGTCGAGGCTGGTTTTGACCGTTCAGTTCACCGCCAGAGGCCCTGCAGGTGGGCTCGGGGCACAGGTGAGGCACTACAGGGAGTCTCCGGCTGCAGGCTGTCCCCTCACGTGGCCATGGGACGTGTGCCGGGGCGACTGGCGGGAGGGGCAGAGCCCCGGGGACATAAAAGTGCTCCCAGGAAGAGTGCACGGAGGGAGAAAGGGGTCAGCATTTTCAAAGCACAGAAACTGGGTCACAGGAAACCACAATTTCCACACCGCCCTGAACATCAAAGGTAACACTGAACAGGGCCCAGGATCTCAGACCTTAATCATCGAGAAATGCTCTCCCGGACCCGCCCCGGCTCCAGTTCCTCAGCATCAGGCCCTGAGGATAACAAGGACCCCAGGCCAGGAGGAGGGGTCCCAGGCAGACCGCAGGAGGGACCTCCCTGGACTCTCCCAGCACCACTGTCCCGAGCCGGGTCGGTGGCCACGGAGCCCTGGGGTTCAAATCCCACTTCGCCAACATGCTGGGGTGTGGCTGTAATGTGGGGACGGCAGCAGCCCCCACGGCCAGGGGTTCCGGGGAGTTAGTGAGACTGAGAGCACCCGGCCCCTGCTTGAGGAGCAGCTCTGAGAGGGGGAGGCACAGGTGTGGGCAAACGGGTGCTCCGGGACGGGCTCAAATGAGGAATGAGTGATGAAGAAGAAGGGGAGGTCCCTCGTCCCAGGGAGAACCACGGAGGGCTTCCTGGAGGAGGCAGTTAGTGAATGCGGCCTTGAAAGATACCAAGAACCCAGAGAAGGGACCTTGGGACTCTGTGCAAAGCATTTGGGTGACATATCAGAGCCGATTCCGGAAGCCACGTGTGGCGTCCACGTCGAAGCTGAACCACGGGCGGGTTCACAGATGCCTCTTGGGGACTCTGCTCTCTTTCCCAGCCCAGGTTCTCTGAGGGGCACTTGGCTCAGGAGCTTCCCATGAGTCCAGGAATGTTTGGGTTTTTTAAGTACCGGTCCACTTGCCAGCAAGGGAAACACTTCAAAGACGTGAAATCCCAGCTGTCCTGAGTTACGGACAAAGATCTCAACGCCCGGTGGGTGTGCACAGCGGGCGCGGGTGCTCAAAGGGGCGGGCGGGGCTCCGCGCTCAGGCTGGGGACTGAGTGCAAGTGTCGCCCCTGGTCGGAGATGGATCCCTCGCCCACACGGAACCCAACGGCCAGGCACGAGGCAGCCAAGGCCAAGGCGTTCCCACTGCGGCCAAGCCCACCTCCCGGGGCGATGCTCCGCGGCCGCGGGCCACACAGCGGACACGGGGCTGGGGATGCCCGGAGGGTCAGAGAGGGGGGGTGGGGCCAGGGCAGAAGAGAGAGCCAAGGGAGAGCGTTGGATAGGACAAGGGCCCCGTTGGGGACGGCGGCCGCTCCTCACTGGCCCACGGTGGCAGGCCACGGTCACCAGATCTTAGGAGTTTCCAAATAAAGCTGGAAATCTGGGTTTGGTATAGACTCCCCCAATTTATACATGTAAGCAAACAAGTCACATTCTGTGGGCCAGGCAGGGGCCACCAGTGTGCGTTCGCAGAACACAGTAAGTGTCCTGCCTGTCACTGGGAAAGCGGAAGAGGGCCACTAACATTTCCTGAGCACTGTGTGCCAGGCACCTTCCATACGGTTCATTCATCTCATCTCCTACCCAGTCTGGGAGGCAGCAGCTGGGTCCTGGCTGGGTTGGCGTCTGTTAGGGGTGAAGGCGTCTGAGATACACCACCAGGGAGCCCTGGGGTCAGGACTCAGCCTGGTTCTACCCGGTCCTGCCCTCACTGTCCACAGCTCAGTCTTACCCAAACGTTAAGTCTCAGCTTACTGGCCACCTCCTCCAGGAAGCCTTCCTGGGTGCTCCACACCTACCCAGGACTCCTCTCTGCCCAGTTCAAGTCACTCGGCCCTGTCACTCTCTCTCTCCTGCGCCGTCTGCGCACACCGGTGCTAACTCAGCTCCGACACGCACAGTAGGTCTTTAAATGCATTTGAGGAGCGGCGTGATGAGGGGCTCAGGACCCTGGAGCCAGCCTGCCGGTTTCAGATCGCGGCTTGGCCGCCGACGGGCTGGGGGATGCTGGGCAGGCACCTCACTGCTCTGCGCCTCAGTTTCCACCGAAAGCGGCGAGCGCCCTGAAGGACGCCAGCGGGCGGTAAGCGCTCAGCAAACGCTGGCCCTCGGCGCCGGCCGGGCGCATGGACACCTGTGCGTGTCCAAAGCTCGCTCTCTTTCCATCACTCCACCCGGAGCCTGGGCAAGGCCGAAAACGAGAGCACCTCTCCCGACGGGAGCTATAACCACATAAAATGGAAGAGAGACCGAAAAACACGGAAACCTGGCCACTGGAGAGCGTCCCCGGAGAGCTGCCATTTATACCCCGGGCCAAGCGCAAAGGTTCCGCCTTTCATGTTCTGTTTTTAATCTTTTTCTTTGCATGGGTTTCACTTCTGTATTTATTTATACCCAGGTTCTTTCCAAAGGAAAAAAAAAAAGCTTTTAGGCAGCTTTTTTTCCCCTCTCTTTTTCCTTTTGACATTATTAGGAAAAGACAACTCTGAAAGCGGCTGCCTTGCAGCGCAGGGCTCCCGAGGGGGGACGCGCAGCTCTCGCCTTCCCGTGCCAGGGGCGCCAGGGCAGGGAGGGGGGTCACGACGCCCG